CCCCCATCCCATATAACCTCCCCATATGCTTTGGCAATGCTAAAATGTATTTGGTCGTGCTAATAAAGCTTATTTGAATTTGAGAGAGAGAGGGGTGAGAAGAGAGAGAGAGAGGGGTGAGAGGTGAGAAGAGAGAGGGAGAGGGGTGAGAAGAGAGAGAGAGGGGTGAGAAAAGAGAGAGGGGGAGAGAGAGGGGAGAGAGAGAGAGAAGGGGGGAGAGAGGTGAGGAAAGAGAGGTGTACTTTATAAATATACACATCCACCACAGGTTTTGTTAGCACTGTTATTGGAACAATTACAGTTTTAAGAGAGAAAGAAGAAGAGAGGAGAGAGAGAGGTGTACTTTATAAATATACACATCCACCACAGGTTAGTACTGTAATTGGAACAGCGTTCAAGGAATGTGAAATATCACAACTCTACCACTAGATGGCAGCAAAGGCACGCAGCAAACTGTCTAGACGTGAAAAGTTGAGTACAGAAATGCTCATACAGTATTAGACTCCCGCAATCGATCCCCGATCCATGGGACCGAAAAACTCCGTTGTGAGTGTGACCCCGGAAAATGTGGGCTGTGTGTAGAGCATTGAGGTCTGCCTCTGGTTTTAGGCAGTCTGCGCTTCAACTGAGAGCCGTGAGCACTGATTCCAGGCTGTGTGCAGCAGTGTGTGTGAGATCTGTATGCAGAGTGAGTACATGACATTACATAACTATGGGAACCCAGGGAGGACATGCAGGGGAAGGTTATAGCCTAGGGTTGCCACCTCCTATCATGGATTCATCTGGACAGTTCGGGTTTTGAGTCCTGTATGTGCTGTTTCAGGCCAGCTGAAACCCAGACACAGCACATACAGGACTCAAAACCTGGACTGTCCAGATGAATCCATGATAGGTAGCAACCCTAGGCTATAGACTAAGGTGTTCCCGCCTTACCAGGGTCACATTACTGGACATTCCAACAAAAAAAGCCTCACTGCCATTGTCACTTGGTACTGACTCTGATCTTGGTAAATGAAGATGCATTCACACCATAGTGTTGCATTAATCACACAGTTGCATGCTACTGCACAACACACCTAACCTGTGTTATAGTGCAGGAAGTCCGGTGTCCTACCATTCATTTGTATGGCACCCCAAATGCACCTCCGGCCGCAATGTGCCCGACCTTGCCGCAACACGCAGTGTAAGCACTACTTTTTTTTAGCTGCACCACAATGTGGTACCTTGCACTGCGGCGAGGTCGAGCACGTTGTGGCCAGAGGTGCGTTTGGGGTGCCATTCAAATGAATGGCAGCACACCTGGATCATAACCAGTTAGGTGCGTTGTGTGGTAGCATGCGTTAATCACATGGAGCTGTGCAATAAATGCAATGCTATTTTGTGAATCCACCCTGATGACATCACATAGACCTCCTATGCCATGGTTGTCAAACGCAACTTCATTGCGGGCTGCATCAGCATAATGGTTTCCCTCAAGGGGCCGGTTGTATCTGAAAGACTATATAAATATATCTACTCTTTATCATAATAAATAATTGCCTCTGCATTCCATTATTACTGGTTTTAGTAATAACTTAATAACTAGCTCTGAAAGTAGAAGTCTAGGAAAAATAATGGCAATTAGTGCGCTATGCAGGGTCTATGTTGGGCTGTGCGGTCTCTCAGGTGGGCTATAGGGGTCTATGGTAGGCTGTGCAGTCTCTCAGGTGGGCTATGGTAGGCTGTGCAGGTTCTATGGTGGGCTGTGTGGACTCTCAGGTGGCGGTGCAGGTTCTGTGGTAGGCTGTGCGGGGTGAATTGTAGGTTGTGTAGGGTCTATACTGGGCTCTGCGGAATCTCAGGTGGGCTATGCAGGGTCTATGGTAGGCTGTGCAGGTTCTATGGTGGGCTTTGCGGACTCTCAGGTGGCTGTGTGGAGTCTATGGTAAACTGTGCAGGTTCTATGGTGGGCTGTTCGGACTCTCAGATGGGATTTACCGCTGGCGTTGTAAACAGGCGCCGCCATTCACAGGAAGGCTGCTGAGGCCTTGCTGGGGACCTTTGCATCCTTCCTGTGAAGCCCGGCGTGTGTCAGGATGGAGAGCGGTCCGGGGCGGTGACCGCTGCGATCTGTCACAGGAGACAAAGTTCTCCTCCCACACCTTTCGGCTCCACCTCCTGTGTCAGGATGCTGAGCAGTGCAGGGCAGTGACGGCTATGATCTGTCACAGGAAGGGGAGCTCTCCTCCCACACCTGGCTCCGCCTCCTGTGTCAGGATCGAGACCGGGGACTGGAGGAGAGTGTTCTGACCTGTCACAGGAGGTGGAGCTCTCCTCCTCCACTGCCCGCCCCCCTCCTGTGACAGCCGATTCAGAATGGAGGGCAGGTATACAAACACTCACCGATCAGCTGATCGATGAGTGTTTGTAAATAACTGGACCTAGTATGAGTTACTATGTCCCAGGTATAAATCTACATCACTTCCTGTTCATTCATAATTGAGGTTATAGTAAACACACTATCTCGACAATGTATGAATGAACAGGAACACTCAGTATAGAGGATTCCTGTTCATTGATAACGGGGGCTGAAAGAGAGATTGAGGACTCTGTGTCCCCAATCTCTTTTTCTATTGTAAAAGGGAAATATCAGGGGTCTGTTTAGACCCCTATATTTCCCCCGAAGCCCCCAACAGTAAAGTAAAATAAATAAAATAATTTTTAAATAATTCAATTTTTTTTTTAAAGATTTTCGGTTTCGGCCTGACACATTATTTAGTTTCAGTCTCAAAATTCCATTTTAGTGCATCGCTACTTATAATATTTCCTCCTCTCCGTGTCTCCTCTCCCGAATTTCTCCATCACAATCAACAGCACTTCAATCAACCGCTCCCATCAAACCAGGGTGCTCGGAGTCATCCTAGATTCTGAGCTCTCCTTTCAGCCCCCCATCCAATCACTATGTAGATCTTGCTGACTCGACCTCTGAACCATTAACAAATGAAACCACGAAGCTTCTAATTCACTCCATTTATCTCCTCGCCTACTGTAACTTCCTCCTTGTTGGCCTACCACTAGACAGGCTATCCCCCCTTCAGTCTATCATGAATGCTGCTGCCAACCGTGCAGTGTCCGCTGCCCCCCTCTGCTAATCCCTCCACTGACTCCCAGTTGCCCATTGAATAAAATTCAAAAAGCTAACAACAACAACGTACAAAGCCATCTACAACTCCGCCCCAAACTACATCACCCACCTCATCTCAAAATATCACCCAAACCGTCCTCTCCACTCCTCCCAAGCCCCAGCTCATCACTACTCCAAACCACAGCGTCACAATTTAGAAGCAGCATTGTCAGCCTTCCATGTGCACTCCTTGGCTGTAGAGCGGCTTATCTGATGGGTAGCCCTACAGCCACGAACATGCACTTTAATCACATACAGTTAGCAGCATACAATGTCTTTTATAAAGCTGGCAGATAATAAGATCTATGTAGGGGTATTCAGCAAAAACTGCCAGTTTAAAGAATCAGATGACTCAGACTTGACTTTCTTCCCCTAACATCTCAGAGCCCACCCTTCCCCTTCACAGATTTTTACTTACCAGGATCCAATGCCCACAGGTCCGCTGATAGTTTACATTATGTGCCACTCTCTTCTCACTGCCTGAGGCACCTACGCATTAGAGCCCTGTAAAAATCTATGGAGCTCACCTGGAGGTAGACAAGCTGCATATAGGTCTATGGGGCTCTACTGCACAGGCTCGGCAGGCATCGAGAAGAGTTCGGCAGAGAATGTAAACTATCCCTGGGGGACACGGTTGGCGGATCTCAGTTATTCTAAATCTGCGGAGAGGGAGACTGGGCTCTGTTAGGTCAGGGGAGGGAGGCAGAAAAAATAAGTGCACTTTCTATATTTTGAATTTTAATGGAAGACTGATCTGCAAACAAAACCTAATCTAGGAAATGTTTGTTATTTAGGACCTTATGTAAAAAAAAAAAGTTTCTGTAGTTTAGATATCTGTGTTGTCCAAAGCATCCAGTTAGATTATTCCTTTACTTTTCAGGCTGCACCACAAATAACAGCTGCGCTTTGCAAGCACATCTTCCCCTCTTTCTCAGTTAAAACCTCTCACTGTACAAATGATTCTAAAACTTTTCTTTCCTGTTATGGATGTCTTTGTAGACACTTGAACCTCGCATTGTACAATTCACACCTGTACTAAATTTGATAGAGATGTCAGTGAAATATCTGTTATTTACAATATGTATTTTTTTATTTCTAGGACAGATCATGTGTATCGTCCAATCAGCCAATAAAGAATATCTGCACAAACATTCTAATATGCAGTAGCAGAAGAGCAGGAACTTTGACAAGCAGTAGGTAATATGTTGACACTGAGCTATTCTTACCAGATTTCTTTTTCTGCATTGTACGAGTGAAGAAATGACTGGAGAATGTAAATATGATTGCTTTTTCCATTTCAGAATGTCATTTCTTTCCAAGCTACTATTTATTTGTCTGGTAACTGTGCTTCTCTTATTTCCTAGTGTATTAGATGAAACGACATATGAAAGATTGGCGGCAGATACACTATATGCCCTTGCAGAGTTCTTTGAGGACCTGGCTGATCAGCCATTTACACCTGACGATTATGATGTCTCTTTTGGGGTACGTTTCTGGCCAGATCACCTTTTCATGATAAGAAAAACATGTGGAGTAGAAATCTTCCAGAATTCTAAAAATGTATGTTTGACAGTCAGTGGATAAATGCTCTTTAAAGAGGCAATGTTGAGGAGGAAAAATGCAGCCCCATCCCTGTAGCAGCCTCCAAAATGCTCCCGGCATGGCCTGATATCTAGGAGCCATTTGTCAGACAAAGCTTCAGCATTTTGTGATGGTGGCAAAGCTTTGCCAATCCATCCTTTCTCCTGCAGACTCCTATTGACCAGAATAGCTGACCATTATAGTGATCGGCTAATAGGAATGTGTGGACAAGTAAAGCTTAGCAGTGACACCACTGGAAAGTGTTGGAGCTGTGTCTGCCAGAATGAGATTCAACGGTTTTAAAACAGATTCAACAATTTTAAAGTGAGGCTGTCCCCAAGACAAGCTTGAGTTTCCCCTCCTCAATACAATGCAAAAAGTCAAGATTCTCAATCTTTAACCCTTTATTAGGACAGGCAGTGTTCAAATCTAGTTTACAACTGAAATGAGAACTGCCAGCACAGTACAGACAGGGTTAAGTATGGTAAACATAACTCCCCAGCCCCCTCCTCAACATGGTGTTGCAAAGGAAAACTTCAGTTGTGGAGTTTTCAGAAAAGTGCAAGTAAAATGTAAGCTGCAATTTTTATGCTATGTGACAGGGAACATGTGACACGTATAAAACAGGTGTTATCCTAAAGGTGGAAATACACTTTAATATTCAGCTTGCTTATACATTTTACCTTTATAATTGTATACAGGGCAACTGAGCCAGTAAACCCTGAAGTGACCCCAGTCATGTCAATCAGTGGCGAAAAACAGAAAAGGGCACCTCTTGCTTGTGTAATATAATTTATTAAAGAAAATTCAAAATGGATAATGGTACTCACAACATGATGAAGACATGGGCACATAAACACCAATGCAGCCCTCCAAGATCTTTACCGCAGAGCTCAAATGGACAGCATAGCCAAACCAAGTAATCCACAGTCACTGGACTGGCTTAAGCGTTTCAGGAGCAAGTCCCCTTCATCAGAGCAGAGAAGAGGGGCTTGCCCCTGAAAGGCATAAGCACTAAACTGCATCACTGGAGAGTCCAGTGACTGTGGATTACTTGGTTTGGCTATGCTGTCCATTTGAGCTCTGCCGTAAAGATCTTGGAGGGCTGGATTGGTGTTTATACCCATGTTGTCATCGTGTTTGTGAGTACCATTCTTAATTGTCTTTAATAAATGATATTAGCAGGAGGCTCTGTTTTTCATATGTGCTTCAAGACCCCCTGGTTGAGGTTGAAAGGGCTGCCCCCAAGTGGAGTTTGAATTGTGGATACAACAGTGTGGTGACATCAGCACCAGCTTTATATGTTTGGCTTGTGGATGGCAATCAGTGATAACTAGTTACAGGGTTGTTAAGCTTTTGATGTATAGTCCAGAGGCAGTGCAGTACTCGAAACGGGTTCGACGTACGTGATAAAACACATAGTTCAACCGATAATATACCACAATGGTTGACGGAAAGCGGAGCCTTAAACATGTTTACACTGGGATTAAGGAGATTAAGGGGGGATATGATTTTCATGTACAAGATGTTCACTGGTGACAGCAACATTGGCAACAAACTGTTTGAGATTAACTCCTTTACAAAGACTAGAGGCCACCACCTAAAGTTGGTGGAGAAAAAATTCCAGCACAATGGGCGAAGAGGGTTCTTTACAGTAAGAGCGGTTAAGGTCTGGAACTCACTGCCATCGGCAGTGATTTCAGCCAAGAGTGTAGATTTGTTCAAGAAACGTTTGGACAATTTCTTGAGGGACCGTAATATCCAGGGATACCAGGATCCCTAAGAATGAGATGATGCGTGGACCTAAATGGGTTGGACTTGATGGACGTATGTCTTTATTCAACCCCAAATACTATGTAACTTTTCAAAGGAAACTTGCTGTCATGTAGAAGCTCAGCAAAGCATTAGAAAATCTGGTTAACATATTGTGCTAACTATATTGTAATGTAGCAAGCTTTTACAGAGCATTTGCAGAGCTTTTGGTAAGCTTGCATGAAGCCTTGAAAACACTTTTCACCTCCAGTTTGGGAAGGGAAAAGCAGAGTGCTCACTGTCACTTTAACCGCTTGAAGACCAGGTGTTTAGACCCCCTTCCTGTCCAGGCCATTTTTCAGTATTCAGCGCTGCGGTACTTTGACTGACGTTTATTCCGTCATGCAACGCTGTACTGAAATGAATTTTATACCATTTGTTAGGGACAGATAGAGCTTTCTTTTGGTGGCATTTAATCACCACTGGGGTTTTTATTTTTTACTATATTCAGGAGAAATTACTGAAAATTTTGAAAAAAATAACTTTTGTTTACATTATGTTATAAAACAACTAATATTACCCACTTTTTTGGTAAAATATAAAAGTCGGGGTCACGTCGGGTAAATAGACACCAAACATGTCAAGCTTAAAAATTGCGCGCGCAAAAAACTAGCATACCCAAAATTGGCCATAGGCGACGCTTTAAAAGCTTTTACAGCTCATCAGTTTGGTGTTATCTGTGATTGATGGCCTTAAAATTATTGCTCTCATTCCGACAATCGCGGCGATATGTAACATGTGCGGCGTAATGGGCGCAATCATCGTTTTCGCAGGTATGCGAGCGGAGGGGCGCACGTCACGAGACCTCATACAAGCGATCCGCTGGCTATATAGCCGGCGGATCGCTTGTATATTAACGGGCATCGCTGCCTGTTTTCAAATAGCGGCGATTTCCCGCTCTCGCGGGCGGATGTAACATGACGTGTATACACGCCCAGTTACATCCAAGAAGCTCCCGGCCGGCCGTGTATACACAACTGCTGGCCAGGAGGTAGTTAAACAATCTGATAGCAGACTTTGGTAAAGTTCATTGTCATGGTCCTTGGAATACTTTATCTCCTGGGACGTCTTTGTGTCATTACACATATCAGTCCTCCCATTCAAGCTATCGGCCCAATCCCTGCTGACCCTGTTTTAAGTCTTTATTTGCATGGCCACACATATCAGTCCTCCCATTCAAGCTATCGGACCAATCCCTGCTGACCCTGTTTCAAGTCTTAATTTGCATGGCCACACATATCAGCCCTCCCATTCAAGCTATCGGACCAATCCCTGCTGACCCTGTTTCAAGTCTTAATTTGCATGGCCACACATATCAGCCCTCCCATTCAAGCTATCGGACCAATCCCTGCTGACCCTGTTTCAAGTCCTCATTTGCATGGCCAATAGGACCTAAGTGAGGACTAGAAGGTACTTTACAATTGACCAATAGGAAGGTGGAGGTTTGGGCAGGGTGTTCAAACTGCTGTGTATAAAAGTGTGTTGTGTGCATTCAATAAAGGAGATTCCTGTTTGAACTTACATACAGCCTGCCTGGTGTTTGTTCTGAGCTATCACAACTGGATTCGAAAGGCACATAGCTGTAGCTCGAATCCCGGAGCATCGGACAACCGAGAAATCAGACGTTGCAGTCTGACATCTGATCCAGTAGTCGCAGAGGAGTGTCGGGAGAGTGAACCGAGCGAGCAGGGGCTCGTTACATTCATCACACACTGAAGCTTGTTAAAAGCCTGCTTGCAGCTAGTGTAAAGTGACGGTCAGTACTCCTATTAAGATCTGAGTTTAACATTCCCACACTGGAGCTGAAGGATGCTTTAAAGGCTTCATGAAAGCTGCTCGAAGCATGTCCAAATCTTAGTGTTCACACTGCTCTTGTTAGCTACTTTACCACTCCTCCCTTTCCTTTAGACTGAAAGTCAATGTTTATTAAATTCTTAAGCTGTTGTATAGCAACATGAGCAAATAATTAAAATAATTGCTTGAATCACATCAGCTCTATTTCCAGAAATATCCATTAGGCTCCATTAGGTTTCCTACTAACATCATCCAATGTGTACTGAAAACTGAAGATATTGCTGGACCTTCTATGGTGGACCATCTGCGTAGTGCTGCTTGAATTCCATTCTTTGAATGGAGTTCATTGTGAATGCTATGGAGGGACATTTATTAGTCTTTCCATAGGGCAAAGCAGTGCAAACCAGGAGCTGTGAGACAAGTTATAAGATCATTTGTTATGAGATCACAGCTCAATCAATGCTGATGCCTTAAGAGTTCCCTTCACTGGAACTAAGGGGCCAAGCCCAACCCCTGAAAAACAACCCCCCACCATAATCCCCCCTCCACCAAACTTTACACTTGGCACAATGCAGTCAGGCAAGTACCATTCTCCTGGCAACCGCCAAACCCAGACACGTCCATCGGATTGCCAGACAGAGAAGAGTGATTCGTCACTCCAGAGAACACGTTTCCACTACTCTAGAGTCCCATGGCGCGCTTTACCCCACTGCATCTGACGCTTTGCACTGCACTTGGTGATGTAAGGCTTAGATGCAGCTGCTTGGCCAAGGAAACCCATTCCATGAAGCTCTCTACACACTGTTGTTGTGCCAATCTGAAGGCCACACGAAGTTTGGAGGTCTGTAGCTATTGACTCTGCAGATAGTTGGCGACTTCTGCGTACTGTGCGCTTCAGCATGCGCTGACCCCGCTCTCTGTCATTTTACGTGGCCTACCACTTCGTGGCTGAGTTGCTGTTGTTCCCAGTTGCTTCCACTTTGTTATAATACCACTAGCAGTTGACCGTGGAATATTTAGTAGCAAGGACATTTCACTGAAGGACTTATTGCACCGGTGGCAACCTATCACGGTACCACGCTTGAATTCACTGAGCTCCTGAGAGCGACCCATTCTTTCACAAATGTTTGTAGAAGCAGCCTGTATGCCTAGGTGCTTGATTTTATACACCTGTGGCCATGGAGGTGATTGGAACAACTAAATCCAATGATTTGGAAACTTTTGGCAATATAGTGTATGTGTCTCTAATGTGACCAGAAGGAATGTGTATGTCAATCACCTACATACATCTGGATATA